CCCCCCAACCAAATGAGAAAGAAATCACCATCTATCTTTCAGCTGCTAATCCCAGTCAGGGTCTAGGGGGACCTGGAACCCGTCCCAGGCAGCACGGGCCACATCCCGGACACATCACACACATACTGTCCCGATTACTGATGCCAGTTAGCCCAATTGTCTGTGGACTGTGGAACTCGCAAGCACACGCATTTACAATTAATTTATTTATCAGACGTGCATTTTGAGAAAGCAGGGGGTTAAGGGCTTCGTTGACAGGCCCGATGGGCAACCTTCTGATGGCAGATCACTGGGCGCCAGCCTGCTCAGCCACAAAGCAGCCGCACGCAGACGCAGCCTCACGGAACCTGTCAGACGCAGGATGAAATGTGTTACGCTGGTATCTGTTTTTGCAGCAAGCTCACACACCAATGGACATTGTTCAAAAGAGTATGAAAACGTCAGGCTGGAACTGGGCATAGATAGATGGTTTGGCTTGTTTCAAAACAAGCGTCACACTCCAGACAGTCAGGCTCCCGATATGGAGAACTGCTGACTGCTTACATTGTGTGCAGCCAGATGTACATCTAGAAGGTTAAACCTTTGTTTCCTGTCATAATGGCAGGATCGCTGTTTCTGGCACTGGTGCTGTGACCCATCTTACAGAATATTCCAATGCCTCTGCTGGAACGGGCCTGTGTATACAGCCAGCAAATGGCTCTCTTGACCGGCCCACAACGTGAAGCGCATTGCTCTTTGTACGGAGGACAATTGGCCACCAGGGGAGCATGAGGCTGGCAGGCTCTGGAAGAGCAGTGGGAAAGGGGGGCTGGACGGTTCCAGAACTGGCCGTCCACGCTGAGCCTGAAAGGCAGAACAGTGAAATACAACAAGGAAGGTTGGGAGAGTGTGGTATCAGATACACAAACAGGGCATTAGGGCTCAGATTGGACCTTAGCTCTTAAAGTCACACTCGGACACGGAGACCAGGTGCTGGGCGAGCCACGTCCTGCTTCCTAGAAACGATGGATGAGATGAGACACGCTGAGGTTTCAGAGCATTATTACACGCGAGTGTTTGGGGCCCTGTTTTGGAAAGTGCGTAGGGTGGCGTCGAAGTCCCTGCGGCTGCTCTCGGTGACCATAATGGCTCACCACCCATAAATCAGCGCGGGCGGGACGCCTTGCCACATCCTGATGGGGGGAGAGTTAGCCATCCTGTGGGTTTTCTCCTGCGTGCTTTAGATTCCTCTGGTGATCGGGCCTTGACTGGTGCTGACTGTGGGCGGCTGCCGCTCAACTGACTAACGAACCTGCCGGCACGTTGAAGATATTATGTTCGTACATAATTCACGCATTTCACTGTGGAAATAGCACGACGCTTTGATACGGCAAACACACCCATTCAACGTGCATGGGAGGATCCAAAGGGGGGTTTATTTGGATACAGGGGTGGGGATGGTTTACCCAAATAGGAAAAAAAAGGATGGAGAGGGACGGGAAAAAATGCATTTCGGCATCAGCACAAGAGAAACACAGAGGAAGACGGAATAGGGACCCAGCCTTTGGAGGGGGGGTAAATGGGATCCGGCACTGAGGTCCGGGGGTGACCTCTGGGGACAGAGAAACGAAAGAGGTGCCTGTTGCATTTCGTTTTTAGGGATGGGTGACTGAGCTGGCTCATCTTCACTCACCTATCCCAACCATGATGGAGTTTGTGGATTAATAAAGTATATATTATCTCAAACAGTGAACACAACACGATACCACGTATTGCATAGTCCACAGTACAACACTATTAAGTTCAATCTATTTACTTTAGAATTGCATACAGTTCTTCTCTGACAGTCTTTGCACTGTTACTGTCTATAGTTATCTATTAGGCATGGCGTTCGAACCCGCTACAGACTTTTAACTTAATCTAGACCCTGACTGATACTGGTGATTAATACACCTCTTTGCTGTAACTAATAAGGCTGTTGGTTGAGAAGGTATAAAATCTCCCTTTGACTGGGATGAGACACTTGGCTGACATCTTGTCCCCCTCACCCCCTTAATGACAGGATGGTGGCCTCTACCCCCTTCGTGGTGATCTCCTACTTCTGCCTCTGGTACGTTCCTCCCTTTATCAGTGGGAGGGTCGTCTGGTACCTTGGCTTCTACTGCGTCTACCAGACCCTCATTACGGTAGGTACTTCTGAAATTAAACATAAGAACATAAGAACTATACAAACGAGAGGAGGCCATTCGGCCCATCGAGCTCGCTTGGGGAGAACTTAACTAATAGCTCAGAGTTGTT